GTCATCGTCATCATCACTGATGGCGTCATCAGTGACGTCACCGGCATCCGCATCGTCATCGTCACTGATGACGTCATCAGTGGCGTCACTGATGTCGTCACCGGCATCCGCATCGTCATCGTCATCATCACAGATGACGTCACAGATGACGTCACCGACATCCGCATCGTCATCGTCATCATCCATGGTGACGTCATCAGTGACGTCACTAATGACGTCATCGGTATCCGCATCGTCATCATCACTGATGACGTCATCAGTGACGTCACTGATGACATCATCGGCATTGTCATCGTCACGTGACCCCCCAAGGTCACGAGACCCCACAAGGTCACGTGACCCCCCCCCCCCTCCGGTCAGTTGACCCCCCCCCCCCAGTACCCTCCCCTCCTCCTCCTCAAGAGCTGCGCTCTAATTCGGCGTTACAGGGAGTTGTAAACGGCTTTCACTTTTCTTTCTGCGATTCTCACGAGCACTACTATCTCTCAATTTTACAAGTAGTCCAAAGTAAAGAACCTTGACTTGGCAATCCATTCCTGGTTCGGAACACAGCTCTCTTAAAAACTGGCAGGTACGCAAAAAAAGAAAAAAGCATGAAAGACTGTTTAAGCTGATATTGTCCGCGATAATCCAACACACAATTTTCCGAAAGGCCGATGGGACCTTGTTAGAACTGAAATTTCGAAGAAACGAGTGAGCGACAAACAGAAGGCAGCACACGTAGTCACGGCTGGGAAGACAGCCCACATGGCATGAAGTGTCAATACGTCGCGAAGCTAGGCCATGTATACATGTCGCCATGCTGTCTAGCTCCATGGTCACTCCCAGACCTATTTCTGCGCTTATGTGACGACCCCGTATAGAGAAGCTCAAGCCGCTGTGTTGTGTTCAAGCCGTGGTCCAGGCTGAGGCGAATGCATAGCGAAAGTTCGTCTGCTTCGTGTGCAGGGGTTCTAATGACGTCAAAACGACGCCGATCTCTGAGTGGCCCTGATTGAAGGGTAGTGGGTACACCTCGAGGCAGCTAGCTTCGAGGTTACCCACTATCCTTCAGTCAAAGCCAATCAAAGCTCGGCGTCGTTCTGACGTCGCCACAACGCGTGCAAAAAAGAAGCAGACAAACTTGCGCTCCGCATAGGGTGGCAGCAAGCGTTGTTTTGTTTATAAGAAACCATCCTTTTCAGGATAATTATGTTCCGAGGGTACTTGGTAGGAACCGAAACGTTGGTAGGAACACAGGCTGCTAACATCCGGCTGGCACCATAACCTAAAACAGTATTACATAGAGGACAATATATGCAACTTTTCTTTTCTAACGACACCTACGCAGAACGAATGAGAGCATCTTACAAGGAGCGCAATTGACCCCGTAAGTGGTACGTCACTGATTCACACCGCTGCTATGAACGTAAGGGCGTTGCTTTAAACGAATATATGGGACCGGATTTCGTTCAGAAAGAAAAAGTATTAAATAAAGGAAGCCTAAATTTTACAATTACCATGACAAAATTTTGAAAAGAATTGTCTGTTTCTGAAATATTTGTGACGATGGCAAATTCCGATCATTGAGACGTCTCGAAATGCCTGCAGCCAAGGACGAACGCTTGACAAACGCCTAAGGAATGACCGAAGTTTGCCGTTTGCACTAGTAGGAATTATTTGCATAATGATACGATTTTTATCTTGTCTTTATTGGGAACATGAGAGGTTTAAGAAAACTTATCAGGTCTATGCAAACGAATTGTTTTTGCGTGCGATACGGGATAATGCCTGACTAAAGTCCTCATACCTATGGAGATCTGCTAAATATATAGCGAGAGAAGCATCTGTTCAGAACGTGATATCAAAGCAGTGTCATGCCTTCTTTTTGATTTTGTGGTTGACGTGCATTGTGATATTGGAACAAATATTTTGGCCTAATCATAAACACTTCGAGACCGCAAGCTTTTTTTTATTTTCAGACTCGCAATATGTGAGTGTTTCGTACCTGTTTGTAATCCTCACACTTAAAAAAATCCTGAGATTCTTCCATGTTTAGTAAGACCCAAATAAAGGAAGAGCTGGATAATAAATCCGGTAAGTTATATACCAGTTACAGCAGCTGGGATGATCGCACAAATATATATTGAAGCAACTTCTGCACTGTCAGAATTTCTTGGAACGCGTACTGGCCTTCACTTCGACGTTCATACGCTTCATGCCGTCGTCGTAGTGATTCGACTTCACAGTATTTTCGTCCTTTTCAAATATGGCGGAAGCCTCCACGGGCAGGCGTTCGCGCTTTGTCGCACCTAGGCCGATTGGCTGATCTTGCGGCCGCGGCTGCGGCTGCGGCCAAGAGGGATTTTTCTGTCACGTGACCAGCTCCATGGGGACAAGGAAGTACCTAGCGTCCTTGCCTAATGGCAGAGAAATCTGTATCGGTTCAAGCACAAAAGCCTAATTTCGCTCGCAGAAACTGACTGCAGGGACTTTCAACTGGAGTCCAATTGACCGCCCCCTTATACTGTAGGAGCGGCAGATAAAGTTACGGCCAGGAAGGGTAAAAATGAGTCAAAATAAAGGAAAAACCACTCGAGATGAAAGCGGTGGCAGAATATTTATATGCCCCCGCCAGCGCCGGCGTCTCGCGTCTTCTACTGTGGTCGGAAAAAGAAGAAGAGGCCGCCTGGAACGGCTGCGAAATAATGAGTTCTGGTGGAAACACCGCATCGGCCTCTGGCCGAGGTATTATTAAATCGTCTAATGTCACCTGAAGTGAGTACAGAATCACCCTTCCTCGTCTGCCAACCGGAAACAACGTCCTCAATTCTGTATTTCTCCACGCCGACATGTCCTCCAGGCCTTATACGGCACCGGATTTCCAAGATGCTCTCAAGGAAGTAATAGACCTAAAAGACATAAAAGCCACCGGACAATTCCAAATGGGCCATGTATGGATGGTCACCTGCGTCAACGCTCTCGCCAAAGAAAAGCTTTGCCTTCGTGGTGAGCTGCTCGTCAAAGGCAAGAAGTGCCTGGTGATCGACCCAAACACTCGGGATCTCAAGATGAAGCTCCTGTGGCTTCCGGACCATCTCGAGGATAGACGCATTGTCGAAGCCCTGACACCATACGGCATAGTGCGTAGCATTCATCGAGAGAAGTGGCGCTGTCCGGAAATGGAGCAGATGGACACCCTAAACAGGGAAGTAGACATCACTCTACATGAAGGAACGGCGACGGAGAAGATTCCTCACCTGCTACAGGTGTACGGAATACAAACGCTCATCATCATCCCGGGAAGGCCTCCTTTGTGCCTCAGGTGCAACCGGGTAGGACACATTCGACGGCAGTGCAGGACACCGCGCTGCTTCAAATGTGGTACTTACAGACACATCGCTGACACTTGCGTCACGGCTTACGCGACCAAGCTTCGTGGGAAAGTGTCCCGAGACGCGGAAGAACACTCGCAGCTCCTGATGGACGTCTCCGAGGTCGTTGACGCTTCAGGCCACACTTCCTGTGCTGAAACCCTCATGACACACATCAAGGATAACTCGCCTGCAACAGAGACAGCCTCTGGTGTCAAAGAAAACGACTCTGGAATCCTCCCAGAGCTAACGCCTGCGCCCTGCGACCACGGTGATGATGATGACGCCTCATCGACGGCAACGATTGTCGAGGAGGACGCACCATCAGACGCAGAAGACATCGCTGCTCCCGCTGAGGTCATTCCAAAGGCCAGCGAGAAAGAGGCAGTATCACCGAGGCCAGAGGGTGCCACAGAACTTGGCGACCAGAATGACCCTGTGCCAGTAGATGACGAGCCGTTTGTACGGGTTAGAAAGGACCGAAAACAGGTAGGCTTTAGGCCTAAGCCATATTCCAAACAAAATAGTCATAAACCGCTCGATAACAACCAGAGCGGTGACTTGAACTCACCTTAAAGCAGTCTCATGGGAGACCCCGCCCTTCCTTTACATTTTATCACCCTAAATGTAAGAGGCCTGAGGTCTAAAAGGAAGCAGCGCCAACTCTTAAGGCTCTTAAATTACGAGCATGCCGCTGTACAGGAAACAAAATTATCATCAGATGAGGACATTGCAGAAGCCTTAGAACCCTTCCAAGATGACTTTGAAGTCTGTGTGAGTCAGGCAGTGGGCCTTTCTGCTGGTTGTTTTTTTGTTTCTGCGTAAGTCGATTGGCTATCCGTCGGTTTCCTTATCCATTGACCAGGAAGGGCGTCTCATTTCATGCGACCTTTCTTTGAGGCAGAATGAATGGAGGATTATTTGTGTATATGGTCATAATACTGTGAATGCAAGGCTCCTTTTCTTCAAATTTCTAGCCAATTTCTTATGCACCGACAAAGTGGGGGTGCTAATGAGAGATTTTAACTGTGTCTGTAATGCAGAAGACCGAGCACTACTTCAGACGCGTTATGACAGAAGCGCCTCGATTCTCAAAGACCTGCTTCAGGAGCACAACCTTGTTGATGTGGCATGTCCGAAAGATATGTCAATACATTTTACCCACTTCCAAGGTGTTTCACACGCTCGTCTGGATAGGATATACGTGTCAGGCGAAGCATTCACTTCAATGGCGAGGTATAACGTTAAACCAATTTTCTTTTCCGACCACTGTATGGTTTCTGTTCGCTTTGGCGCCAAGGCTCCCCGTGTATTTCGACCTAAATGGGAACTATGGAAATTTAATGTGAGTATCCTAAAAGATGAAAAGTTTTCCAAGGAAGTTTTAACGATTCTGCAAAAATGCCTTGATAATCAAAATATGCATATTTTCACCATATGGGATAGTTTCAAACAAGAGGTTAAAAATTCGGCAATTGAGCGTTCGACAACACTATCTTATGAAAACAAACAAAAACGTCGCGAACTTTATAAAACTCTTTTAATGTTTCATGAATTATAATGCATAAATCCTGGTTTGTACAGTGATGATATTAATGTCACCAGAGCCCAGCTTCAGGCATTCGAGACCGAGAGAGAGAGAGAGAGAGCAACTTTAATGGGTCTCCTGCAGTAACCCCTATCATCCCACCCTCTCAGGTGGGTTCTTGGGGCGACGTGGCCGGACGTCTTCTTAGCGGGGAGAGCCGCTCGCGGCGGGCTTCAGCGTACTCGGGTTAACCCTTTCTGCTTCCATCCCGTCCGGTCGCTGCTTCTCGAGTGCCGCTAGGATCTGCTGGACGGCCGTGTGTTGGACGTCGTAGTCTTCGGATCTCTTCGCCTCCTCCATGAGGGGCGGGAGAACGTCTGCACTGTTGTCCGCGTTCGCGCATTCGCAGTCTTCCAGGATGTGGGCCAACGTGGCCCTTTCCTTCCCGCACAGTCTGCATAAGTCTGTTACGTATACCTCCGGCCACAGGTGCTTTGCTAACACTGGGGTTATCACGGAGTTAGTCTGTAACTGGCGGAATACCACCGCCTCCTCCCGCGTCAGACGGGGGTGGGGCAGGGCCATCGTTCTTCTGGCTAACCGGTACCACAGGGTTACCTCGTTGTAAGCGTCCATGGTGTCCTTCTCGGGGCGATCCACCACGTCGGCGGCGGCCGTTACCGGGGCGCGGCCGGCGAGTCCACGCGCCACGGAGTTGGCCGTCTCGTTGTGGTTGGTGAGCCCCAGCGAGCCCGCCACTTCCGCGCCCGCGTGGGCGGGAAACCACTTTATCACCGCACTGGTGATGACTCCGTTGACTTCGGCCTTTCGCAGGATGCGCGCTGCCGCACTGCACACTCGCTGTTTCGCAAAGTTGCGCACTGCCGTTCGCGAGTCGCACAACACCGTCTTCGTTCTGGGGTCCGCGATGGCGAGGGCCACCGCCACTTCTTCTGCCTGGCTGGGCACAGTGGTCCGCACGCTGGCCGCCATCCTGATCTCACCCGTTTTGGCTCCGATCACGCTGACGCTGAAGGCGTCGCCGATGTTCTTGTAACTGGCCGCGTCCACGAACACGGCTCCCTCATCGCCGGCGTGTAGCGCGATCAGCGCCTTGGCTCTCGCCTCTCTTCTTTCTTGATGGAATGTGGGAGTCATGTTCCGCGGGATTGGGCTCACGACGATGTGCTTGCCCAGCTCCCGCGGTATCTGCTCCTGCATCCGGTGGTCGTCTTCCTTGGCTCCGATGCCTAGTTGTTTGAGGATAGATCTGCCGGTCCTGGTTCCCGACAGTCTGGTGAGCTGCGCCGTCTGCTGTGCCTCGGCGATCTCTTCCAGGCTATTGTGGAGTCCCAGGGCTTCGAGCTTCTGCGTGCTCGTGCATCCTAGGAGTCCTAATGCTGATTTGTAAGCTTTGCGGATCATCGCGTCGATCTTCTTCCGCTCGCACTGCCGCCAATTATGGAAGGCGGCGACGTAGGTGATATGGCTCATCACGAAGGCTTTCGTTCGTTTTCATCCATGTCAGAAAGAGAATGTGTGGTATGGAACGTGGTTATATACGCATTTAAGCATTTGACCGCAGCGCCCTCTCGTCTACAAGCGTTGAGCCAATGCATGCAATGTTTAACGCGATTATATACGCATTTGACCGCAGCGCCCTCTCCTGTATAGACGTTGAGCGGCTACATTCAACGTTTCATCCATGACATCCCCAGCTCTTGAGTTACTACCATATCTCACAGCCCCCTACTCGTCCCGCAGTCGTGGCCGAGTGCTATATTCGATGGACTAGAAATCCATTGGGGTCTCCCCGCACAGGTTCGAATCCTGTGTACTGCACAAACTTTTTTTCGTCATTTTTTTTTATTTTCTGCCCTACACGAGCACGTGAGCACGCGAGCACGTGAGCTCACCAGCACGAGCACCAGCACCAGCAAGATTGATGTGAGCACGGACGCCGGACGGACAAGGCTAGACCCTAAGGAGCTTCGCCCCAAAAATTCAAGTTTCATCGCTTGTCACCAACTTGTGAAAGCAGTAGCGTACTTCAGAAAAGAAAAAAAAACACTGCACCGCTGAAGCCGTCGTGTCGTCTGCTATCAAGGCAAAACCGGTTGGGAAATTTTCTGACGCGCTTTCATCGTCGCTTTCTGGTGCTGAAACGATAAATTCTTTGTGAATATATGTTAAGAAGACGCTATGCTTACAAAAAAAAAATAGTTACTTATCAGTCAATTTCTAACCTCTCGTCGAGCCCCCGTGCATTTGCCCATAACAAAGGCCGTACCAAGGTTTTTATTTGGAGCACAGCGACATGTTGTAACGCCACCACTTACGGGGTCAATGCTATACATGGTTTTAACGCGCGCAGCGCCATTTTGAATGCTGTAGCGCGCGCAGCGCCATTTTGAATGCTCGGGCGTTAGGCTCAACATCCGCGTTGAACTGAGTGAAAGCACTCCTTTGGGCGCCACTGATGTATCGAATGTGGCAAAACGCTAGCATTATGCGATCGGAGTTGGAGGTGAGTACTGAAGACTACTGCATCAGTCAACAGCAAATAAATTTGCGGTTTCATCGAGGTTTTGTTTTGTTTTTTCTTGGTTGTAGGTGCAGTACATCGAGATAGATCGTTCCGTGTCCACCACGTCATGGAAACGCTCGAAATATCATGAGCCATTCCACTATATGAAGGTGGATGACCAGCGAAGCTGTTTAGCACACGACACATACCCCGAGGTGCCGGAGGAAACTAGACACGCGCGACGGGAAACCCCCCCCCCCCCCCCCCCGGGAAAGCGGAAGGAAAGGACACTAGGCACGCAAGCGCTTAGAACGACGGCAAGGAGAGGGCGGTGCGAGCGTTAACATGGCCGACGCGGGTCGCACAGTTGCAAATGTTTTGGAAACCTTTATTATCTACCTGATAGTCTACTGATTTTAAAAATGGTGCCTATTGATAACTAATCCACTGAGGGCCGGTTGCACCAATGTCGCTTACCTTAACCCAAAGCGGGTCTTTCTTAAGTCGGCTTAGCGTGCTAAACCGAGCTCGGTTAAGCACGGGTTTAAATTCCGGTTGCACCAACGTCAACCGGGCTTTACAGACGCGCCCCTAGCTAAACGCTGGATTTGCGTGGGAATGTAGGGACAAACAGAGCGAACTAGGGAACGCTCAGAGGGACGAATACGATTGGCGAAGAGGAATCACGTGATGTAAACAAAAAAACTGCCGTAGTAGCCGTCGTCGGCGTCTGCTTTTCGCTGTATTTCTTCGGTGAGTAACAAATTAAAGGTCTCCAAATTCAATCATTTTTTTGCTTAACTTTCAATAACAGAAGTCAAAGCTTTAAATAAACACGAAGGCTCTTTACATTGATTTTGATTGTGTGTTTAATATCGGTTGATAACAGGATATTTTGACAGTGGCAGTAATTTTCGTGCTCACATTTTGAGGTGAAGGAGCCATCGGGGGCCCCAAATCTCACCGAACGCGAGAAGGACACTCTACTCGCTACATCGCTGAAGACAAAACATCATCGAGAATAAGTAGGCAGGTAAGATGACTACTAAAATCTAGTCATGCCTGAGACCGATGAAGTTCAAAACAGTGACGAACTCGCCACGGCAACTGCGAAAATGCCCAGAAATCGTCGAATAGAAGTCGTCAAGAGGTCAGGTCGAGAGACCTTGCATCGACGGTACTCGTTGCTATCAGCAAGGTGAGAGAACTGCACTGTACCGCCGTTGAACATCCGCTGCAGCCTCAAACGGACTTCAGTTTCACACTGTCGAGTTCAGAAAAAAACTCCCACTAGTACATCACATCGTGCCGAAAAGAACGGTCGTCTCCTCGCATCACCTGCCCCAGCCTTTCCGATGCAGCAATGAACGAATCTAGCATAGTAGTCGTTACGATTTGTCGTCGCCACGAATGAAAGATATAAAGCAAAATATTCCTAAAAAATCGCGATCACCAAAAAAGTTACGGTTATGGAACGATGCATTTTCTGAAGCTAAGATTCTACTCGCGAGATTGTCAAAATTCACTGAAGATTGTCTCAAGACTCAGAAAACGAAAGAAATTGAATTTTCGCTATTACTTAAAAGCACCGCTATCTAATGCCTGATTCACATGGTGCGAATTCGCCTGCGATTTCGGAATTGCGACGCCGTTCTTGCGGCACAACGCAGTTGCGGTGCGAATTCGACTAATTCGCAACTCTGTATTTTGCCAAACTTTCCTTGCGAACGGCCGCTCTTGCGAAGGAGACGGACAGCCAATCAAACGCGGCTCGTGAAAGACGTCACGGTGGTCATAGCAACGTGGGAATCAAAAATACGAAAAATGCGTCACCCACGTCGTCGTCTTCAAAATTCGCTGCGGGGGTGGGGCGGCGGATGTGCTTCTTCCATGTGAATATTTTTCGCCGGGGGATGTAAGCTTCAGTACGGCATTAAAACAAACTGGCGTTTGCGTACCACGAGAGGGTTGTGGTTGCTTCCTTTGTAAAATTGCAGGCGATAACAATTGACGCTCCTGTTCGATTACTTTGCGTAAGGGACTCGTGGCATAGAAGAAAGATCCTTTCTTCAAATCTGTCTGTCTATGCTGGAACGCCAACTACATGATGTAGAAAACTGCATCGGGCACTGATTGGCTTTTCTCTCGGGTCACGTGACGTGACGTTGAAATCTAGTTTTTCCCTATGCAGTTCGAGCTATGCTGGTAAAATGATGCAGTTAGCGGTGACGTCAAAATGTCGTCACGATGCACTTTGACGATGCAGTTAACTGAGTGGTCGAGGCGAAGCCAGAGATTAATCTGCATCGTAAAAGATGGCGACCCTGACATATGCATCTCTAGTGTTGGGTTCGCCAGCGGATCGAGTTTTTAGAGATCCCCGGTATGCTTTCGAGACGAGCGATGCGAGGTTTGTGGGCGAATACCGGCTGACCAAAGGGGTGACTCGCTGGCTGTGTGACCAGCTTCGCGGTAAGCTCCAGCGTTGTCTTTAAGGGCCCCGTGTGCTGACGGTCGAACAACAAGTCCTCGCAGCTCTACGCTTTTACGCCGCTGGGGGCTTCCAGGGAACCGTCGGGAGCGACGAAAACATTGGTGTTCTCCAGTGCTCTGTGAGTCGCGTACTTGGTGATGTCACCAACGCTATCATCGATTGCCTCGGATCAAAGTGGCTGTGTTTCCAACAAACTCAAGCAGAGAAGGCACTCACAAAAAGGAAGTACTTCGAGCGATGCAAGTTCAGCGGCGTTATCAATAAATATTCTAAATACTCTTACACGATTTAACACGATTGTGTTTTCATTTGAGTGCACCCCAAATAAGCAGTTTGGCTGAGCGAAAAGCCAAGCAAGCAACGGTAACAGGCTTAAGTTGAGCTAGTTCGTCCATACTTCAGGTAGAGAGAAAGAGAGGTATGCTTTATTTTAAAGCTACTACTTCAAGTCAGGCCAGCTGAACTAGAATAAACATGCACATAAAAAAAAGACCATACACACCGTGGGACTAACAACTGATTTTCTTCTTCCCCCTCTTCTACTACGAACCCGACTTGAGGGAAATATTCTCTTTTCTTCTTTTTTGCTTCCTACTTCACCGAAAATTTAACCCCCGAAGGAACATTTTCTCTTTCTCGTGCAGCACGAGAGAAGTTGCACTAACGCAGTTAAACATAGTCAAAAAATAAAATTTGTCGTTAGTTGTTTATACAGCAGGAGGTTAGTCTGCCTGAACATAGCGACATTGTTACCCACTGTAGATAAGCAATTTAGCCAGTGCAGTACGACTGCTAGCCCGGGGTCTTTAACATGCATCACGCAGTACACGACCGCACGCCAGTACGATGCTCATCCAGCAGATCGAAACGGGCAAGAGCGGGGATAGACCGATCTCACCAGGTAGTTTGAGAACGCCACCGCTGCCCCCATGCATCGTGGGAGCTGTAGTCTTTCTGCACGCGCGACAACCCTGCTGGAGGTCTGCGCGAGCAGAGCTGGAGGCCGTATGAGGTGTCTCGTGAACTGGCATGTGCCTCCTATGAACTACAGTTATGGCGGCGTCACGCATGCGTGGAACGCTTGGTGAGATCGGTCTATTGAACCAATAGACCTTTCCAAAAAACAGCGCGTGGCCGGTGACATTTTGAGTGTTCGTGCGTATGGCACATGCTCTGCTCGCTTTCCGAAGCGACGAACACGCACGTGCTGAGCTGTGAAGAGCGCACGCTGGGCTGTGATTTTGTAAACATTGGAAAGGTCTATTGAACCCACGATCCCTGGGTTCTGCAGCGCGAGCTTTCGCTCCACGTGCTCCGAGCTGGTGTGCGCTAGCCTACTCGGCGATTCTCCGAAATTCCCTGTAGGGAAAACAATAACGGTGTAGTTTCAACTTAATCGCCACTGTTCGGCGACGTCACCGGACACGTCACGGTGCAGTTTCCTTCCGATGTAGTTTGTTGGCGATGGAGATT